CCATTTGATCCTTTGAAATTTTTTTGTGGCTTTATTAATTTTTAAAAATAATGTTTCTATGTGTGCTTGAAAAGGTAGTGTCTTCTTGGCTGGGCATGGTAGCTCACGCCTGTAATCCCAGCATTTTGGGAGGCTGAGGTGGGTGAATCACCTGAGGTCAGGAGTTTGAGACCAGCCTGGTCAACAAGGTGACATGCTGTCTCTACTAAAAATACAAAAATTAGCCAGACATGGTGGTGGGCGTCTGTAATCCTAGCCACTCAGGAGGCTGAGGTAGGAGAATCCCTTGAACCTGGGAGGCGGAGGTTGCAGTGAGCTGCGATCACGCCATTGCACTCTAGCCTAGGCAACAAGAGCGAAACTCCATCTCAAAAAAAAAAAAAAAAAGAAAAGGTAGTGTCTTATCAAATGTTGGGTGTGGCATTTTAATCTGCCTATTAGGCTAAATTAATTGTTTTGTTCAGATCTGTAATCTTAATGATTTTATTGTCTGCTTGTTCCGTAAGAAGGATGGCCAGAAACTTTCCATGATAATTTTGAATTTGCCTATTCTTACTTATCTTGAGGCTATGCTATTAGCTGCCTCAGAGTTAGAACTGTTACATCTTCCTGGTGAATTAAAATGTTCATTTTGGTGTCATTTACCATTTCCTTTAAATTTTTATTTTTATTTTTTCTTTTTACCATCACACAATATGTCCATGTAATCATTTAATCAGTTTCAAGTGTCCTTTATCTCTGGTTATACTTTTTGTTTCCTTTGACTGATTGTAATGGAACTTCTCTAGGTTCTTTGGTTTCATATTTGCACTATGTATCTTTTTCCATCCTTTCATTTTTAACCTTCTGTTTTTGTATTTAAAATGTGGCATATAATTGGGTTTGGTTTTTTATTCATTCTGACATTCTGTCTTTGTTATTTTATTAGACTTACACTAAAGCTTAAATTTAAAAAATTTTTCTTACCTATTTTAGGTTTCTGTTTCTCTTCTCGGACAGTCTTTTGGCTTATTTGTTTATTTATTGAGGCGGAGTCTCGCTCTGTCACCCAGGCCGGAGTACAGTGGCGCCATCTTGGCTCACTGCAAGCTCCGCCTCCCGGGTTCACGCCATTCTCTTGCTTCCGCCTCTCGAGTAGCTGGGACTTTGGCTTATTTTTTATTTATCATTCCGTGTCCCCGCTCTGCTTGGAAGTTGTAGAGGCCTTTACTTTTTTTCTAGTGGTTATTTTAGTTATTGCCAGCAAGCAGTTGGCTTATTAAAGTCTAATATTATTTAGTACTTTTACCCTCTTCTTGGACAATGCAAGGTTCTTAGAGTACATTTTACTGCTGCTCCTGGCTTCCATTGTTATTGTTGTTGTATATTTTATTATTTTAAACTTAAGGAGACATTCTTAATTTTTTTTATTACAGGCATTATTCATTTACCCATGTATTTATTTCCCACGTTGCCATTCATTCTGGCCTGTATCTCTGAGTGTGTGTATATATATATATGGGATCATTTTGTTCTTGTCTGGAGAGCACTCTTTAATATTTCCTTTAGTGTAGGTCGGCTGGTGATGAGTTCTTAATTTTTGTTTCATGATATGTATAAATGATATTTTTGGAGGCTTTCTAGAATCTGTGGCTTGATGTCTTTTTTTCATTTTAGGAAAATATTAGCCTTAATTTTTTCTTGTTTTTGCCCATTTCCTGTTTTATTTATCTTTATTTTAATTTTTGTGAGAGATGGGGTCTAACTCTGTCACCCAGGCCGGAGTGCAATGGCATGATCATAGTTCATCATAGCCTCAAACTCCTGGGCTCAGGGGATCCTCCTGCCTTAGCCTCCTGACTAGCTACAGAAGCATGCCAGCATGCCCAGCTTTTTAAAATGTTATTTTATTTTTTAAGAGATGAAGTCTTGCTATGTTGCCCAGGCTGTTCTCAAACTCAAGGCCTCCTGCCGTGACCTTCCAAAGTGCTGGGACAGGCGTGAGCCACTGTGCGTGGCCTTTTTCCTCTTTTCTTTTGGATTCTAATTACAAGTATGTTGGACACATTCTCTTACTTTTCTATGTCTTGTAGCCTTTGCTTTATCTTTTCTCGGTTGTATCCTTTCCATGCTTCATTCTGGATATGTTCTTGTGGTCTGTCTTCCAGTTTATCAGGTATCTTTAGCTTTCCCATTTTCTTACCTCTGCCTTGTTCCTTGACCCCAAATTATTACCTCTTTTTGTCCAACCTGTATCTTCAGGTTTAGAAAACTAAACTCGGTTTAGAAAACTAGTTAATGTGGTAGTGTTATGCTTCCTAAATAACATTTGCATTTTAAAAAGAGTGAATAATGTGGGAATTGCAGGTGTTTTGGAAGAAACAGTGGAAGAGACTTCAAACTCTTTGGACCATAGTAGTTAGCTGCCCCTCAGCATATGCCAAACGTTGGTTTTGCCAGTTCTTCACCTAGAGCTACAGCAAGGATAACTGTTCCCTCCTTGTAACCCTAGCTATACCACCACAAGGGGAACCACAATTAGGAGAAATGCTAGTTGGTCTTCTGTCAATCATTGTTACATTGATTGAAATTATCCCCATCCACCTGCATGTCTTCAGTTTTTTCTCATCTGCTGTTTAATCTGTTGAATTCTTAATGTCTATTTCTGCGTCTCTTTCGTTCTAGAATCTCGGAATGATTCATTTTTATCATTTCCAGTTCTCCCTGAAGTTCTCAGTTTTGTCTTTGATGCAGCATGTGTGTCTGGCACCTCCAATAGTTGGAATCCATGCATGTGTGTTTCTTTCTACTGTTGTGGGGTTTTCTTTTTTCAGTGGCACCTTTTTCTTTTAATAGACTTGTTTTTTAGAGCAGTTGTAGGTTCTCAGCAAAATCAAGTGGAGTATGTAGCTTCCCACAGACCTTCTCCCCCATCGTGGTTTTGTTCTTGCTGGTTTCCATTCATGTCATCCTGTCTCCTTGTGTCTGCATAGTTTTGCTTGTGTGCTAGAAATTGTATTTGAACAATTATTTTAGAAGTAACTTGAGGCCAGGCCGGGCGCGGTGGCTCAAGCCTGTAATCCCAGCACTTTGGGAGGCCAAGACGGGCGGATCACAAGGTCAGGAGATCGAGACCATCCTGGCTGACATGGTGAAACCCCGTCTCTACTAAAAAATACAAAAAATAACTAGCCGGGCGAGGTGGCGGGCGCCTGTAGTCCCAGCTACTCGGGAGGCTGAGGCAGGAGAATGGCGCAAACCCGGGAGGCGGAGCTTGCAGTGAGCTGAGATCTGGCCACTGCACTCCAGCCTGGGTGGCAGAGCGAGACTCCGTCTCAAAAAAAAAAAAGAAGTAACTTGAGGCCTAGGATCATAGGCCTCGAGAGAATTTTAGGTTTGTTTCTATCAGACGCCTGGGAAACACTAGCAGCTGGAGTCATTTTAATTCAGTTTTGATGGTTTGGTCTCTTTGAAGTAAAACTGTAATTCCTGGTAGGGCCTGTTGACTTTGGCTCACTTCTACTCTTTTTTTTTTTTTTTTTTTTTTGAGACTGGGTCTCCTCTGTCTCCCAGGCTGAAGTGCAGTTGTGCGATCTCAGCTCACAGCAATCGTCACCTCCCTGCAGTCTTCACCTCCTGGGCTCAAGTGATCCTCCCACCTCAGCCTCCCTGAGTAGCTGGGACTACAGGCGTGCACCACTACACCTGGCTAATTTTTGTAGAAACAGGGTTTTGCTATGTTGCCCAGGCTGGTCTGAAACCCCTAAGCTCAAGTCATCTGCCTGCCTTGGGCTCCCAAAGTATTGGGATTACAGGCATGAGCCACTGTACCTGGCCTCACTTCTACTCTTAAAAGGGCAGTATTTTGGGTACTAATCCAAAGAAGGGGGTCATGACGGTTACTGTCCCCATAGCCCTGAAGTTTGGTTAAAAGTTCCTCTCAGTCAACTGTGGAATTACCACTACCCTCTCTTGGAAAAGCAGATCCAGATACCTTTGTCCTTCCCTATTCTAGCAGTTCTTCCCTGACCTGTTAGCTCTGCCTTCAAGCAGATATTTTGTCTAGCTTTTTTAGTTGGCCTCCGCAATTTATTGGCCTCAACTACCTATTCTCGCATTACGTGAAGTGGAAGTCTAACCTCTTCATTTTATGACACACACACACCAAAATCTGAGGATGCTCAAGTACCCCAGTTAAGTCCTCCATATCAGCAGATTTTGCATCTGGAATTCTCAGACACCAAGGGCCGACTGTGTGTGTGTTGTGTGTGTAATTCTCCCCATCTGATGCCTGGAAAATACTTCATTGTTATAATTTGCATTTCCTTGATTTTAGTAAGATTGAACATCTTTTCATATATATATATTTACACACACACACACATATATACATATATATACACACATATATATACACACACACACACATATATATATATTCCTTTTGTCAATTTATGTGGTCCACTTTTGGGGGTAGTTTTCCTTTTTCATATTGATTTCTTACACTTTACATATTCCTGACATTGATACTGTTACATGTTGCAAATATTTTCTCCCAGTCTTTCATTTATCTTTTGCCTTTGAATTATGACTGTGTTATATAAAAACTTTTTATTCATTCATTGACTTATTATTGAGATAGGGTCTCAAACTCCTGGGCTCCAGTGATCCTCCCTCCTCCGTCTCCCAAAGTGCTGGGATTATAGGTGTGAACCACTACACTTGGCCCTGCTAAGGCTTTTTAATTTAATTTAATTTTTATTTATTTTTATTTTTGAGACAGAGTTTCGCTCTTGTTGCCCAGGCTGGAGTGCGGTGGTGCGATCTTGGCTCACTGCAACCTGCACCTCCCGGGTTCAAGCAATTCTCCTGCATCAGCCTCCCACTGCATCAGCCTCCCAAGTAGCTGGGATTACAGGCCTGCGCCACCACATCTGGCTAGTTTTATATTTTTAGTAGAGACAGGGTTTCTCCATGTTGGTCAGACTGGTCTCAAACTCCCGACCTCAGGTGATTCACCTGCCTCGGCCTCTCAAAATGCTGGGATTACAGGCTTGAGCCACTGCGCCTGGCAATTTTACATTTTCAAATGTTGAGACACCTTAATGGCTTCTGGGTTTTGCCTCTTAGAAAGGCTTTTGCAGTACACTAAGGATGTAGTACATGTTTTACGCTTCTTTCTTATATTTAGTAATTCTTTTGGACTGGGGTGTTTCTGCACTCTGGGAGATAGCTGATTTCCTGGCTAACTGAATAGAGCGTAAGGATAGGAGCTGCTCATTTCCATCTGCTGGGAAAGGTTTTCTCAGGCCCCAACAACAGTGTGCGGGCCTGAGCTCAGTCCGTGCTTTGAGGTTCTTCCCACTCCCTCTCGCCCAGTCCTGCCCTTTGGAAGCTGCAGCTTGGATGTTTTCAAAGGCCATATGCTCCAGGTTATATGCAGTTGAGGGGAGCAGTTAAAAGGGAGACAGGAGATGATGGTCTGTCATCAGTAGAAATATTGAGGCCAGTGACATGTGAGGCCCAATTACTTTTTTTTTTTAACAGCTGTTTATTTTTGTGAACGTGAGAGCTATGCAATCTAAAACAATCCAAACCAGATGTGAAAGTCCAAAGACGGAAGGGGAGAGAGTGCCTCACATTCCGCTCTGTAGAGGGACAGCTGTGAGCGTCCTTCACCTCCCTCCCTGCCTGCGCCACACATGTGAGCATGTGCACGGCTTTACGTATGTCAACTCTGACAGTGTGGTGTGTGTTGAGCTGTCTCTGGTCAGTATGGACAGACCCACATAGCTTGGAGCATGTGTTGAAGAGTGCAGATGTCAGAGCCAGCGTACCGGGTTTGAGTCCCTGCCCTGCCAATGACGACGGACAAGTGATGTCTGTGTCTGTTGCTTGTCTGTAAAGCGCGACGCCGGCCGAGCTGCCCTGTCGGGCTGCTGTGAGGGTGGAGTGAGTTAACACACACACAGCCTGTGGAAGGGTGGCCATCTGCAGTTGTCTCTGGTGACTGTGATGTTCCGGAGGGAATGTTGTTCTAAGTGATGCCTTGCCGAACACCCTGTGCACCCTTCTTGCAGGTGTCGAGTGATGCTCGCTCGATACTCTGAGTGTGGCCAACATGCGGGGCTCAGGTGGCTTACTGCCTTTCCTTCCAAAGGCCGACTGTGGGGACCTTGCTGAAGACGGATCATCCGTTTCAGGGTCTGGAGTTGGGGTCCCACACTGCTTGCTGTGAGAGGTCAGGGGGCGGTGCCGGCCTCTGAGCAGCCCCGTGGGGCTGAGGGCTGGCCCAGGTGCCCTCACAGGGCGACCTCCTGACGCCCCTGCTCGTTGTGGCCCACGCTCCTAATCCCACCCTCGGGTTCTGAGGCAGGAAGCAGTTCCCGCACTTGGCTACTGGGAAGGAGGGTTGTGTGGGGGGCAGAGGCTTCCTGTGTGACCTGGAGCTGATCTTTCCTGCCCCTGCAGGTGCAGCAGTACCGCGTCGCCATGACTGCCAAGGACTGCTCCATCATGATTGCGCTCTCCCCCTGTCTGCAGGATGCCAGGTGAGGCGCCCACTGCAGGGCATGCAGCCTGGGTCTCGCGGGGTTTTATGGACAGCTGGTTAATTGTTAATAGGACAGCTGGTTTCCCCATACTTAGAGACTCCTTGGCCTACGTGACGTCATGGGGCTTACAACTCTCGCCCTCTAGAAGCTTGTAATTTGGTCGAAAGACAGATTTATGGAGAGTAAGTTAAAAAGGTTGTTATTACATTGAAAGTTACTGTTTTCTAAGAAAATACTGCAAGAGCTCAGAAACAATGTGGACAGTGAGCTGCCCAATTCCATTCCCTCAAAGAAAGCCAGTCCCTGAGATGCGTGGGTGCCTGTGGCCCTTGTTCCTTGGTCTCCCACGGTCCCAGCGTGGTGCACCTGCCTTTTTACTACCATAGTCATTTGAAAGCCTGTGAGGCGCGCGTTTTCTTCTGCTTCCTCCTCTGAATAACCGGCCTGTGCGCAGCCCTCTCCCTAATGCCACTGGTTTTGTTCAGTCCCCTCTCACTGTTTCTGGGAACTCGGGATGAAACTGATAATCTCATTGTCGTTAGACGGCATCTCCATCACTGATCTTCAGGGGTGCCAAACCCTGCACCCTGTATTTGCGGAATGTTCCACATTCTTCTAACATGTGTTCCTAGGTCAAGATGACCTTGGTTGCTGGCTGCCAGCCACTCATTTTCCCGGTGCTTTTGAACTAAACGGTTCCCAGGATTCCTGTTCCCTGGCAGGCACAGAATTGTTTACTTTCCAATATGAAATACTGAGGAACATGATAGGGCGTAACTGAAGTAGAAAAAAGGTGGTTCTATTTAGTTGAAAACTCCTGTTATCCCCTAAGGAAATACCTACAGGGCTAAGTTATGAGGAATTCCTTAGCTGGATTAAGCTGGTGGTGGTCGAAGAGAGAAAACCCACAAGGATACCACTGTTCAGCAGCCCCCCGGAGCAAGGATGCAGCCGGGCAGTGGAAATGTGCTTGGATGCGGGGTGCTCAGGTGGGCTGGGAAAGGCGGCTGAAGGACAGACGTGTTACTCACCTCGCCTAGCACCTGGGAATCTCTTAGTGCCTGGTCAGTGATGTCAAAATGGAAACGCAGCACCCGGGGAAAGGTGAGGGCCCGGGTCCTCACGACCAACTGCTCAGCAGAAACGACACTGGGAGGAGAGGGTGTGTCCCGAAGTGCTGAGCCACACGGCTTAGACCTGGGGTGAAGGTACGGGAATCGTCCGGCACAAAGCACTCTAGCCAGGCCTTTCTTCACAAAAGGAGAGGATCTCAGAGAAGGCTTCTCCTCCGAGAACATGAGCACATGGCATGTGGGGCTGGGCCTGCTTCCAGGAAGGTGTGCGCAGTGGCCGCACCTGTGAAGTCCCAGTGACTGTGGTGCTCTAGAGGCCTAGGGACAAGCCAAGGCTGGGATTTATCATGAGTCGTCTTGGCATCTTGAGATGCCTGGTAGACCTGAGACTAAATTTAGATCCCTAGACTTTAATTTACAGCTCACAGATAGACTGACCACATTTCAACTTCTTACACCCCCTAAAATAAAGGCTTCTCCAGCTCTGTGCTACTGTTTCTGCCCTGTCATAAAGGAAAATGTCTCAAGTTGGATCTGCCTTCCTGTTGCTGCAGAGCTTTGCCCCTTTGGGAATTTGGAACTGTGGAGAGAGCCGCCACGGCTTTCCGTGCCTAAACCCTGCTGCTCCTCTCGACCTCCCATTTGAAACACAGTGCGCGGCCTCGGCTTCTCCACCCCAATTCCCAGCAACCCCCAGCGGGTCGGTGTCCTGGAGAATGGCCTTCCAGGCAAGGGCAGCACCCCCGGCAGCCAGAAGGTCACCTGAGCCTCATTCTCCAAGGCTGCTGGAGGGCACACTTGTGGCACAAAGCGACATGTGTGTCCCTGGAGCCTCTTGCCCAGTCTTGTACTCCGGGGTGCTGACAGGAAGAAGAGCATTTCTGTGTCAGGAGCTGGTGCCCGCTGGTCACTGCCGTTGGCTCCCATGGAGCTAGCTTGTAGTTGACCCAGGTAGTCAGACCCTCCCCGGGAGCTGCCTGGAACATCCTTCCTGTCTTTACACCCATGGTCGTGTCAGGTGCTGCTTCTGAGAGATTAATTGAGGTGTCCTTTAAAATACGTAGCCCTAGTCATGGGCTGGGGACGTGACTGTTCCAGCCCAGGTGCACCAAGCTTGGGTCTCAGGCCTCAGAACCGAGGGGCGCCTTGGGTTTCTGTGGTTCTCACAATAAAATGTGGCCCCTTGGGAGGAGCTGCAGGCGCCTTCCAGCTTCTGGAGGAGGCTCACGACCTTAATCTGTAAACGAGTCATTTGCTGTTTACTCTTCAGGCGAGAATAGTTACTGACCCCAGCAGCTGAGTCAGGGATTCGTTTTTCCTACAAACAGGATTCTGGGGCAGGTGGCAGTGAGCGCCGAGGCCGTGGTGAGCAGCGTCACTCACAGCAGGGACGTGCTCATCAGTATTTCCTCTCCTCGGCAGGAGCCTTTGAAGTTGGGGTTTGGTTTGTTGATTTCTAAATCTTCTAAATCTCAAAGAGTAGTAAACATTGGGACACCAGAACCCAGGATACTTCTCTTGGACTGAACTGAGCTTAGGTCACTTATTTAGCCAGTGACTTGAGTGCTGTGTGCCCTGAGATGAAAAGCGGGACACACAGCAGAATTCAGCACTCGGAGTGATCCTAAACGTGTTTTTCAGGGCAAATAATTATTCACATCTTGTTATAAGCACACGACTTCTGATGTTTATTAAAACCACAAAACTAAGCCCTGAGAAGCAAAATACAAAGGACTGAAGATAAAATTTGAGAATAAAATGAGAAACCAGATCTCTTCAGACGTGAACCAAAGGAGCCTGCGTTTCTCAGCAGACAGGAGAGGCACAGAAGGAGGCTTGTCGACATTTCATCCATTTGGCGCTGGAATGGCCAGATCTACTTTTTACTTTTTCTTGGGTTTTGTAATACTTGGCTCATGATAAAGGGACTTTTCAGCGTTCGTTTATACCACTGGGCTGGGGGAACACTGCTCACATGATCCACATAATTACTTTTCCATCTTTCAGTCCTTTAACCCTCTCTCGCCTGGTATGGTGGGGTGCACTGGCCTGAGGAAGCTTTGCGTGCTGGTGCACACAGCCAGCGCAGACAGCTGTCCACACGCACAGATGCACAGAACGAGTGCTTTTTGTGAGCTGGGGTGTGAGGCCATTCACTTCTCTTTTAGAAGACATTGATTTATCTAACTTTGCAGAAGTCAAAGAAAAATATAAAAAAAACCCATACTAGCTGAAAGAAGGAAGGAAGGGAGAGAGAACGGGAGGGAGGGAAATGAATGGGAGGCTTGTGTATCCTGAAATGGTATTTTTTACTTGCAGCTCTGATCAAAGGCCTGTCGTCCCTTCATCGAGGTCCAGGTTTGCCTTCTCTGTGTCTGTGCTGGACCTTGACCTCAAGCCCTACGAGAGCATTCCGCATCAGTATAAACTGGACGGCAAGATCGTCAACTATTATTCAAAGACTGTATGTGCCAAAGACAACGCCGTGATGTCGACTCGGTTCAAGGAAAGCGAAGATTGCACGTTAGTTCTCCACAAGGTCTAACCCTTTCCCTGCAGTGTCTTTGAAACTTGAACACAGAATGTGAAGGTTGAATGATAGAGCTATTTTCTGTTGTGTTGGGTGAGCTTTGGTTGTGAATGTTTTTGCTTTTAACCCCCGTTGAGGTGGGATTGCCTCTTGGAGACATGGAATTGAAGAGCACTGGGAACATCTTCCTGGACAAGGAATGTAGGACGTGCTGTGTCCCAGGAAGCTGCCCACACTCTTAATATGGAAGTGTCCGTTAAGCCCTGGGAAGACCTTCTGGATAGATCTTCCTTCCCAACCAGGGCTCATGTCTGATTCTCTAATGCTAAAAGCCTTATTCTAAGACCCAAGGTTTGGATCTGCTACCACCAGACTCCTAACATAGAAAACTTGAATTGTCACATACATTTTACAGTTTGAACTTTTAAGAAAACATGGATACTACTGGAACTTTCCCCAGCTGAGTTACATGGTCACTTTTCAGTGCAAGCCACATATCAACACAGGTTTTTAGGTGGTTCCCTGCTGCAGAGCGTGACCTCGTGGTCGTGCAGACGCCGGTTCTGAGCAGTGTAGACTCAGGGTGCTGAAGCCCGTGGTTCCACACAGGGCAGCAGGGAGCGCAAGACTCAGGTCAGGATGGACACCACTCATGCGAGCATTGACCTTTTTTTTTGCTTTACAATTTAATCTTTCACGAGGGGGAGATGAGTTGTTGTTTCCCACTAAAAATTGCTGCTGTAGAAGTTGGAGGTGGAGCTGTGACTGGCTGAGCTGCTGTGGCCGGGCTGGGATGTGTGCCCCAACAGCTCAGTGCTTTCCTGACACTCCAGTGTCTGGGCTGGTTGAGGACCGAGTTCCTCCCTCGGGTTTGCCTTGAGACGCATTGAGTTTTTGGGCCCCGTGGCCTCTCCCTGTCAGGCTGCCACAGGCCCTGCTTCCGGAAGGTGAACAGCTCCTGGCTGCTGCCGAGAGGGTTCTCGTTGGGGTCACCAAAGTGTGCCCGGCTGCTATGAAAAACGTTGGGAATCTTGGTTTCAGTTTTTTATTCTATGCTAGGTTGTACAGACTTATTTATATCATCGTTTTGAGGGACTAATGGAGGCTTATTGTAACATATAATATTAGCGAAACCATGGAATTATATGAAAATTATACATGAGAAATAAGGAAACTATTTTGCTGATTGTAAATTTTTGTGGGAAATTTTGTGATAACTTGAGAATTATACTTGTTTGAATCAAGGCAACTCTTCTAGAATTTATTGTTCAATTCTGTCATATTTACTTCTAATTCTACACTCAGAGGTGCAAAACGATACTTACACAACTGGACACTTTTACTGTTTGCTTCTCACTTCGAATGACACCGTCTCATACACATGGGTCCTGTGTGTCGGGATGGGGGCTTTGGTGACTCACCTAAGTGAAGTGCATGGAGCTCACAGACGGGCCACAGGCTCTGGGAAGTGTGGAGGGAGTGGCCGTGAGTACTGTCTTGACCCAAGGGAGTTCACTGTTGCTGGGCTGGGGCTGGGGCAGCCTCGTTTGGGATGATTTTGCCCAGTGTCACGGTGTGTGGAGGATGCTGGGTCCTGGGTTCAAGTGCACATGAGAGGGAACCCCAGTCCATGGGAAGGTGGGCTGGGCTCCCGAGGTCCTTCAGGGCTGCAAGAGTTATTGCCTAGCACAGGGCCCAGACAGGGCTGGACTAGACACAGTGAAAACAGCCTGTATTTGAGGGAGAAGAGAAAACAGGTGGACCCCCACTCTGGTCTTGGCTCCCACCAGCCCGGGCTGTGAGGAGCCCCTGAGCAGTGGGTGCCACTGCTGTGGATGCGTTGCTGGCACGTTCTGGAAACTGCTGCTGCTGTGTAGTCATGGCAGCCCTGATTGGTTTGAGACAACACGTGTTCACAGATCCTAACAATGCTAAATGGGCGACTGATGAGGTCACGGTTCTTACGGCACATCCGGGACGATCAGTGTAGCACTTAGGCTCTGCAGGGGGGTCTTTCGTAAAGGACCTCATTCCTCACGCCCTGGCCCAGGAACAGTGTTGTCTTTGCTGTCTTAGGCCATTCTTGTTACTACGCTGACAGCTCCACTTTCTTGTGGAAGACCAAGAACAGTGTGAGGACTTGCTGAGACTGCCTCTCAGTGCCACTGTGCGGACCTGGGGGAGGTAGGGAGCGTGGGCGTGGCTCCCCTGGGCTGCTAAGGACAGTTTAAAAATGAGGTGCCACAGGCATCCATCTCCAGAGCCCCCAGGAGGCAGGAACCAGGATAAGGGTGGCTTCTCCCAGCTGAGCAATGTGGCCGCCATGTCCAAGGTGGACTCGGTATGAGGCCACGGTGGGTGGGGGGATGGGTCCTCCCCACACATCTGAGGACACACGACCACTTGGTACATTCTCTCAGATGTTAAGCTTATTTTTATAAACCACATTGTACATGTCACTTTTATTTGGCATTTTATACTTAACTAGCTGTATTTATTTTTCATGTCATGAGAGTTTCCATATAATGTGCCATAACTGCATAGACAGCATGTCTTCAGGGTGTGGTTCTAAGTGGAAAATAGCAAATGTTTATATTCAATAAAATTGCATGCTCCTCCGTGCAGCATCTTAACCCTCCCGTTCACTGTTTTAGAACTAGTTGTTCTCCTCTGCACAAAGTGATTTTATCAAGCTTTCCAGAGCAGCTTCGATTCCAAGCACGCCGAGCAGGGTTCGGAAGCTGAGAGGAGCGGCTTCTATGGCTCTGTTCTTGTCCAGCTCCAGGGCTAGAAAGAAAACGTTAAACCGGGTAAGAAACTTCAAGGTGGCAGCTTTTGGTTTCTGTTTTCTGCTGGCATGGACCTCACCAAGACCCTGCCCTCCTCCTGACGGGCTGCATGGGATGGGACGTGCTAGTGGCGGGCGAGGAGATGGCGTGCGTGGAGGCCTCACCCGATGGCTCGAGGCACATTCCCTGTGCATTCAGCCCGGGAGGGCCTTGGGGCAGCAATCCCTTCTCATGTTCTTTTTGAGTGATTATTGGTAAAAATATTTAAAAATTGATAGACAAAGTACATTAATGAGATTTCCAATTTTTGATTCTTGCCCTTTGAAACCCAGAGGAAATAGGCAGGTGGCTTTGCTGGGCATGTTGAGAAGTCACCTAGAGCAGCCACACCCAGGGACCTACCTCGCTGTGGGACTTTGGTGAGAAGATCCAGCTTTGGAAAAACCTTCCCGTCTTCATCTATTTGTATCCTCCAAACAATGACTAATTCAAACCTGAAAAAGCGATAAAACATGTCATTCTGTGCTTTTTGAAATCTGGCAAAAAGATGAGCAACCATGAGTTGTTCCTGGTGTCCATTTCCCCATGCTGGGCTCCCCTGCTCCTAGCAACCGCGGCCCACAGCGAAGAAGAGGCACGGTCAGTAGCACAGGCAGATGGAACCAGGACCACAGGACGGTGCTGCTCTGTCCACACTGCACTGGCAAACATCAGTAGACCAGCGAAGTACAGAACACGGAGCAACAGAAACTTCAAAATTACTGGTGGGAGCAGACATGGACAAGCCACTTTGGAAATAATCTGGCACTGACAGAAAGCTGAACATGCACCCAGGAATTTCATTTCTACGCAGTTGAGCCCAGGAGAAGCTTGTGTAGTGTGTGCCAGGAGGTGTCAGCCAGAACAAAGACGCCACATGCTCCAGAGCTGAAGAGCGCAGCAAGAGCCTGTGCATGATCCCCTCCGGGAGGATGATCCCCTCCGGGAGGATGAGCAGCGAAACTGCACTGCAGCTGCTCATGACCCTGGAGGAGGTGAGGGTGACAAAGGCAAGTCCCAGAAGCCTGCATAAGGACCACACGATTTTAAAGCTTGGAAACCAGTTGAGTTGAGGCCCTCACACACAGGTCATAAAAGCACACCCAGATGGACACATGTCCACACATGCACAGCCAAGGGAAGAGGATGGAGAACACAGCACAGGCCAGGGTGGCGCCGGGGCTGGTGGAGGGATGGGCTGTGCTGTCAGAGCCCTGAGCCTGTCTTGTTTCTTCTCACTGCTTTGGGGTTTTCCACTCACCCCTGGCTTCTTCCCTTCGATTTCTAAGTAACAGCAGATCCACAAGCATCTCCACTTTCTCCCAGCCTCCCTTCCTTGATCCCATAAGTCCTGGGGCGGGCCCCAGGACTGGCGTTTTCCCCCTGCGGCCCAGCACATCCTCCAGAGCTCCAGCTGCCCACACCCCCACGCTGGGCATACCTGCTGGGACCACTGATTCCTCCAACCGAGGACCTTTAGTTCTTGGTTAGGTGGTTTACTACTTAGAGTCCTACTTAGGTGGTCTCCTGCTTAGAATCCTTGTTTTAACAGGAAATGGGAGGCCCTGTGGCCTGCGCAGACTCACCCTGGCCGGCTGGCACTGCGGATCCCCATGGAGCAGGAGGAGGGCCCCTCCGAGAGGTACACAGCATCTGGGTACTTTTCCTGCATGGGGAGAAGAAACGGTGACAGACAGATCCACTGGTGAGGAGAAAGGGGCCGTGGGAGGGGCACGGGGCGCTGTTCCAGGTGTCCAGTGAAAATCAGGGTCCAAGTGTTCACACAGCACCCACGGGCGCCGACTGCCCCTCCTGCCCTTGCTGTCACACGTCTGCCCCACTGTAGGTCTCTCCACAACCTCCAGGCTCCCATGACTGCTGCTTCCCCAGCATGAACATGGTACATAACCGCCCTACAGCTGCATTCTCATCTCACAGGTTTCCCCACACCCCTTCCACCTGGGATGGCTCCTTGCTCTACCCTTGTCCGTCACAACCTAGACGGTCTGGGGAGGAGTGGTCAGAGGATTCCCAAGTGGAGGCGCCAGGCTCCTTGCTGGAAAGCAGCTGTTTTTTGCAGGGTTTTAGTATCTGACCTGAAAAGCCCTTTGAGCTGAGGCTCCGTGAGGGCTGTGGCCGGGCCTGGACGCCCCTCGCCTGTCCATCCTCAGGACTCACCCCAATGGCGCCCAGCCCACACACCGTCCTGGGCATGGGCAGGAGCCCACTCTGGTACCCTCACTGTGCCCAGTGGTGGCGCAGCTCCCACTGCAGTAAGGGAAAGGCCCTGCCTTAGTGAAAGCTTCATGATGAGATGGCATTTTATGGTCAAAAGCCTCCTCCTGAAAGCAGGGAAATCAAGTGGAATCTCATAGACTTCTAGGCTTGCAGTTCTGGGAGAGTCTGGTTTCCCCCATGGGCTGTGAAAATTTTGGACACGTCTGCTTGTTTCTGTTACTTACAGCAGGACCCGGTAGCCTCTAGCTCTGCCAGAACTGACCCGCAAATTTAGATCAAACCACAACAGTTTGCTTACTGGAACCTGAACAGATGATACATATTCAAAACTGATAAAAGTAATGGTGGCCGTATTCTCTGAGTTCTTAAAAACTTGTCTTTTTGGGCTGGGTGCGGTGGCTCACGCCTGTAATCCCAGCACTTTAGGAGGCTGAGGTGGGCGGATCACGAGGTCAAGAGATTGAGACCATCCTGGCCAACATAGTGAAACCCTGTCTCTAGTAAAAATACAAAAATTAGCCGGGCCTGGTGGCATGCGCCAGTAGTCCCAGCTACTCAGGAGGCTGAGGCAGGAGAATCGCTTGAACCTGTGAGGTGGAGGTTGCAGTGAGCCAAGACTATACCACTGCCCTCCAGCCTGGGCGACAGAACGAAACTCCGTCTCAAACAAAACGTGTGTTTTTGGCTGGGTGTGGTGGGCGGCTCACACCTGTAATCCCGGCACTTTGGGAGGCCAAGGAGGGCGGACCACCTGAGGTCAGGAGTTCAAGACCAGCCTGGCCAACATGGTGAAAGCCAGTCTCTACTAAAGATAAAAAAAAATTAGCTGGGCGTGGTGGTGGGCGCCTGTAATCCCAGCTACTTGGGAGGCTGAGGCAGGAGAATCCCTTGAACCCAGGAGGCAGAGGCTGCAGGGAGCCGAGATCACGCCACTGCACTCCATCCAGCCTGGGCGACGAGCGAAACTCCATCTCAGAAACAGAAACAAAAACAAAAACACACACACGAAAAAACTTGTCTTTTTGTCTGCTCTTGTGAGAACAGCTTGCAGGGTCGGGGTGACAGGACACTTTCACGGCAGGCTTTGCCTGAGAGGTCGAGGTCCTAGGGCCAGTCTGCCAGACGTGCTTTCCTTTCTGTCCTCTCACAGCGACTGATGTAGAAAGGGCAGCCTGGGCCGGGCGCGGTGGCTCAAGCCTGTAATCCCAGCACTTTGGGAGGCCGAGACGGGTGGATCACGAGGTCAGAAGATCGAGACCATCCTGGCGAACACGGTGAAACCCCGTCTCTACTAAAAAATACAAAAAACTAGCCGGGCGAGATGGCGGGCGCCTGTAGTCCCAGTTACTTGGGAGGCTGAGGCAGGAGAATGGCGTAAACCCGGGAGGCGGAGCTTGCAGTGAGCTGAGATCCGGCCACTGCACTCCAGCCCGGGCTACAGAGCCGAGACTCCGTCTCAAAAAAAAAAAAAAAAAAAAAAAAAAAAGGGCAGCCGGGGGTGCTGCTTAAGTCCCATGCAAGCCCTGCCATGATTAAAAAGCACTGTGGCCTCCCCAGGCCTTAGGGAAGGATAGTGAGGGGAGGTTTCCCCTGAGAAGCATCCGGCCTGACAGCTAGTCAGAGGACACAAGGCAAGGGAGCAGGCTGGAACTGCAGTGACAGCGCCTTCCTGCTGCTCCAGAGACTTGCCGGATTGAACCAGATCGGCTCTGCTGAATGGGGTTGTGTGGGGACAACGGCGTGACCGAGTTTTTAAAAGCGGCAGCCCCTGCATCGCTGAGCTCTCGCCAGTGTGGGAGGCCCTCACCCTGCGCGTGTGGGCCTAACACGGCGAAGGCGCGTCGCAGCACCAGCTGCACCCACCACAGGCTGAGAGGGGCCTGGCGGAAGCTTACAATTACTAACTTCAGCACAACAGTTTCCATAAGAAAATGTATACCTAAGTGATTTAAGTGGAAAGTGTTGGTTGATTTTTAAACCGCAGCCTCTTCCAAATTAATCACAACTGCTTGAGGACCGTAAGGGAGAGCCTGTGAACGTGGCAGCTCAGCTTCCAGGCTGGCTCAGCGGCAGCACTTGGGACGCGTTGGAACGGCTGGGGCCTGGGCCAGCTCCAACGTGGGGCCCAAGGCTCAGCCTCCAAGCACGAGGGAGCAGATGGAGCAGCTCTCTGCCTCCCTGGGCCTCTCCTCACCTCTCCTTGTGAGCAAAAAGGGGTTTAAATGAGATGCTTTCACTAAAAAATTAAAGTGTACCTTACTCCCTTTAGTTTGTAAAAGAAAGTCAGAGGTAGAAACGCTGACATTAGGAAGAGGTCAGGCACTCAGTGCATGTTTCTGGAGGACTTTTGTCGGACTGTGTGCAAAGGTTCTTTTGTGGAAGTTAATAATGCTCCATTCGTTTAGCCAAGGTCACGGTCACTGATAACTTGAAATAGAAAGGATGGGTCTCATTGGCAGATGTGTACAGGTGGGGAGAGAAGATGGAAAAGCTGTGAACAGGGGTATACTAGTTATATACAACTCAAGACAGAGTGGGCTTGAGGTCATTAGGCCTAAAGTCAGCACATCTCATCAGCAGTCGAGTTTTATAAATGACTGCATTTGACGTGGATAGAAGATGACCAAATTGGCAAGAAAGAGTTAAGGCAAACATGCGCTGATGAGGAAGAGGTATGTACCATATATTTTTGAATGCTTTCCATGACAAATAGTTACACAAAAACAGTGAATTGGAAAATCATAAGCCTTATCTGGAAAGCTCCTTAGATGTGTCACGTTTAAAACCGAGGCCCAGAGAAGGAAGGCACCTGGCTGAGCCCCCGTGGGACAGTCTTGGACCTGTGGCTCTTCCGAGTGCATCTGAGGGACCTGCACAGCCCTGAGAGTTCTGGCTTATACGGGAAATGAGCAGGACGCCTGTGCTTCCGTGGATATTGTCAGGAAGGTGGTGATGTAGGGGTGGCTGTTGGGAGGGGACCTCGTCGTGCACACTAACTGGTTGGCAGGCACTGGCGCTTCCCCCTCTGGAGCCCCTAGCCTTCCACGGGAAAGCTCGTCTTAAGCTGGAAATGCTGAGGCAGCGATTCAAGTGGTGTTTGTTCAGCTGGTTGCCCTATGTGGGGAGTCTGCATTTGAGAGCTCTCCTGATGTTATGATAGAAAGATGGCGGCTGTGAGAATGTTGGCAATTTGATATCCAGCCCCAGTTTTACACCTGAGACCCGCTGTGCTGTTGCAATAGCTGCCGGATGCTAGTCCAAAGGGAATAGAATTTTTAGCAGAGCTTTACAGAAAACCAACCTTGTATTATATTTCAGTGCAATACCAAACAAATGGGAAAACTTGAATCCTGAGTTTAAGTCTACCCTGGAGTGTCCACAGATATGTTAACTCATCTTGACTTTAATATTTTCCCAAAAATTATGTCTGGCCGATTCAGTGACTTTTAAAGAACTGAGATAAATTCATATAAATTATATGAGACATAATTCCTTTAAAGTGTGTAATTCAGTGGGTACTAGTATACTCACAAGGTGGTGCAACCATCACCACTTTCTAATTCCACAACATTTCATCACCCCCTAATGGACCCTTTAGCTATTGCCCCTAGTCCCCCTTCACCCACCCTCCCAGTACAGCCGTAAGCAACCACCCAGGCTACTTTATGTCTTGCTTTCATTTGTATTTTAGTAACATTTTCTGTTTTGAAAGATACTCTGGTCTATTGAGAGATGACATCAGTGAGGTTACACCGTGGCATAAAATGCTGGCAAAACTCACCCTAGACTCCTCAGTAACTGGCACTGGGCCAACTGGATATCCACATGATAAAAAAATGAACTTCAATGCTTACTGCACACCAAATACAAAAATTTATTCTAATGAATCATAGAAATGTAAGGGCTAAAACTATAAAACTTCTCTATTCAAGACATTTCATACAAATGGAATTATATATGGTCTTTTATGTACCACATTTTGTTTATCCAATGATCAACTAACAGACTTTTGGGTGGTTTTTACTTTTTGGTATTTGATTTTTTTTTTTTAATTATTATTATTATTATCATTATTTTGAGAACGAGTCTTGCTCTGTCGCCCAGGCTGGAGTGCAGTGGTGCGATCTTGGCTCACTGCAGTCTTTGCCTCCTGGATTCAAGCAATTGTCCTGCCTCAGCTTCCTGGGTAGCTGGGACTACAGGCACTCCTGGGTTCAAGTGATTCTCCTGCCTCAGTCTCCCGAGTAGCTGGGACTACAGGTGCGTGCCACCACACCTGGCTAATTTTTGTATTTTTAGTAGAGATGGCATTTCACCATGTTGGCCAGGATGGTCTTGATCTCCTGACCTCATGATCTGCCCGCCTTGGCCTCCCAAAGTGTTGGGATTACAGGCGTGAGCCACTGTGCCTTGCCCTTTTTGGCTTTT